AAGCTGTCAAGTTACAAGACCCTTGCATTTCAACTCCCGGAATTCCTCCTCTCACTCTTCATCTTGATAATGTGTGGACAGGCGGGGGGAGGGATCTGGAACCGGTTCTAAACGGCACGGTAGATTTGTGGAACCTCTTCTGAAGAAGAGGTTAGAACTGGCAGGAACCCACTCCTGGATTACACCCAAGGTGCCTATTATTATTGCTACTCCCTTTGCTCTCTTTTTGCCACAGCCATTTTATTTTTATCTGCAGGGTTTTTTTTTATTTTGTGATTTTTATCCGGGTCTTTCTCTTCTGATCTGCTGTCTTCAAGTCTAACTTAAAAATTCTGTTCTGGGGAGTAACGTAGTTGAGGCGTGGCAATCAGCTGAGGGGATATAGGTAAGTAAAGCGCAGGTTGGTAGGCGAACCGGATCATCGGAGCGAACCGGTTCTCTCCCTAGCTGATCGTCAGAGCTACCGGTTGGCCTGAACCGGTCCAAACTGGCTGAATCCCACCCCTGAACATATCTATAAAATCAACAGAGGAGACTTTACTTTTTAAAATGGTGAAGGTCCAGGTTTACTACTAAGACAAAGAATCTCTGCCTTATTTGCAATTAGACTTTTTGACCATTGATGCTAGCCCAGCTTGAGCAGGGAGTTGGACTAGAAGACCTCCAAGATCCCATATTCTATGTTCTAAATAGAAAAAGAAGTAAATATGCTGCCACACCATCAAACTTAGTAGTGGCTGCCCATTCCTATGCCCTAGGAATATAAAATTGATATTGAATTTGTTGAGAAATCATCAGAAGATCATAGTGTGGCAGTAGTTATTGCCAGATAAATGCTAAGTATGGATTACCCAAGTAGAAACTGGACAATGCAATCCCTAAAGGATAATATTTGTAACTCAGGATTGAATTGAGGGGTTCTTGGGGCTCTCTGTGCTTGTTTGTTTTCTGGCAGAGGTTTCATTAACCAAACTAAGTAATATCTTCAATGATAGTCACTACACTGATGATGTTACTTAGTATGGGTGATGAAATGTCTGCAAGGGAAGAAAAAAAGCAAGTCAGAAAGCACCTCAGTGCTAGCCCTCTTATTTGATTGAAAATGCTACCCTTTGATTAATAAAAAGGAAAAAGGAAAAAAGAGAAAGCTGTAGTTTTTAGTAGCTGAAGAGCAGACTAATGTCCATTCTGGTTTAACAGTAGTTCTAATTTGTTGCACTGGGAAGGAGACGCCATGTGAATAAATCAGCTCAATGTACATTATTGAGGGTTCAGTTAGCATGGCACAGTGATTAAATATTGGATTATAATCAAAGGGACCTGAGTTCAAGGCCATTGTAAACCATAGAAGCTCAATTTTGGAGGGAGAAATAGATTGCCTTTTACTAGTGGGGGAAAAATAAGAATTTAAATCTAACAAATAAATATACAATGACATGTATATGCAGTTCATATGCAGACATTGAAACATGCAGTTCAATAGTGAATATATAAAATAGTTTATCCATGGTCAAATAGTCTAACTTTATATTTCTCCTTTCTGCTCTGCACACTTGACCTTTAAATCATTCCTAAGGCACCACTGGCTTTGATCTTTCATCACTCTTTAGCATTTAGAAGGCATCTTCAAACGTTTCACCAGCTGACTTTGTAAGCCCCAGAAAGAAACATTGTCTGTGGATTTCGTGTTGGAGATGTTGCATGTCCTTGATTAATCTTTTGTATTCCTATTTTGGCAATCTCAATTTTGTTTACTTCCATGCCTTCAAACTCTATGTCAGGTAAAAGGGGTTTTAAAAAGTTTTTATCCATTGAAATTTGTATCCTTTTGGAGACACTAGTTACAGGTAGTCCTCGACTTATGACCACAATTGAGCCCGGAATTTATGTTGCTAAGTGAGAAATTTGTTAAGTGAGTTTTCACAACTTTTCTTGCCACATTTGTGAAGTGAATCACTGCAGTTGTTAAATTAGTAACATGGTTGTTAGGTGAATCTAGTTTCCCCATTGACGTTGCTTATCAGAAGGTTGCAAAAGATGGTCACGCTCAGTGGTGGGATTCAAATATTTTTACTACCGGTTCTGTGGGCGTGGATTGGTGGACATGGCAGGGGAAGGATACAGTAAAATCCCCATTCCCACCTCACTCCAGGGGAAGGATACTGCAAAATCCCTATTCCCTCCGGATCAGCTGGGAATCAGGAGGCAGAGAATAGATGGGGGCGGGGCCAGTCAGAGGAGGTATTTACCGGTTCTCCGAACTACTCAAAATTTCTTCTAGCGGTTCTCCAGAAGTGGTCAGAACCTGCTGAATTCCACCTCTGGTCACATGATCCTGGGACACTGCAATCATCATAAATGTGAATCAGTTGTCAAGCATTCAAGTGTAAATCATGTGATTGTGGGGATGCTGCAACCGTCATAAGTGTGAAAACTGGTCATAAGTTACTTTTTGCAGTGCCATTGTATCTTTGAACAGTCACTACACAAATGGTTGTAATTCGAGAACTACCTGTATTATTCTTTCAATGTTTGGAATGGAATGGAATTTTATTATTTATATGCCGCCCTTCTCCAGGAGGACTCAGGCTGGCGAACAATTCAAAAGGGGAAAAAGGGGAACATAAAAAACGAAATACAAATAATAAAAATAAGCAACAGCCGCACAACCATACATGTCGAGAGGGGAGGGAACTCATCACCCCCAGGCCTGCCGGCAAAGCCAGGTTTTGACGGCTTTTCGGAAGGCCTGGAGAGAGGTGATCTTTATCTTCCTTAAGATAAAACAATATTATAGTCAACCTAGCCATTTTAACTCTTTTCTGTCTGATCATTTAGTTCCCTTTAGTGTCCATTTTTCAAACTTCATCAAGCCTCCATTCCTAATAATGGATTTAGATTCATTTCAGTTGTTTCTAGTGGGTATATTATTCAATTGTATATTGTATTTTTTTTTTCAAATCATAGAGCCCAAAATAACCAAATCTGAAACTTCTCTGTTCTCCAAATCCATTTAAAACTTTCTTAAATTGATAACCTTTTTGTTTTGCTTTTTGCTACATTATTTGTACAGTACATTATTTTAAAGTCGTAAGTCTCTGCTCAAAATTTCTTAAAGCCACAGAAGGCAAAACTTACCAAGTATTCAAATTTTCCACTTTGAAGGTCTGCCATATCTGTAAAACGGCTAAACTGACATTTCTGAGTGAGATTAGAAAGGGAGTTTGGTTGGCTTGGCCTCCTCATGAAAGGCTCTGCCACTGCTGAGAGCAAAGATGTCATCTCTTTGTCATCTCTTTTGCCTCCCGGTGCTCAAACCTGTGGGAGACCACTGATTTACGTGAGAAGTTGTAATACAGAGCACTCTTGAGTTATCTCCTGGTCTCTTGCTCTCTGGAGAGATTTAAAGGACTGGTCTACTTGCCAATCTTTCTTTCCACACAGTGGTTGTCTCTTATTCGCAGAAGTGTCAGATGACTCACATTGGAAGCCCAGCTTCTTGTTACTTTTCAATAGAATATGTAAAATATTAATATATGGGATAATCGAAAATGCACATTTAAAAATCACAATAAAACTGCTAAAATGTAGTGAACCCTTACTCCTACATTTCTTTTCCATCCTCGGCTGTGTAAAACCCAATAGGAAGGTTTGCAATCTTTTGGAAACTTGTTCCAAAAGATAATAAAATAAAATAAAACGAAAACATTTCTTTTTCTTTGACAAGGTTCAATATGTACTTCTTAGCTACCAGATTAGAAAGAAAGATCAGAGAGAGGAGGAATGTATGGCTCAGCCAGATGATCTATTTTACAAAGCTCACTTAACTTCAGGAATGAAATAAATCCCAATTCTAGTTAAGGGGGAAAAATGTTGCAGAAGTGTTACTACTTCCTATATTGTTTCCACTACAGAGAAAGGAAGAAGATATAAATCTATTATTCTGCTTGAGAAACATTTTTAAAATGTTTCTACTTTTGAGTCGCTGATACAAATAATAAACACGTTTCTCCTAGCTTTGCAAATTTTCAAATACTGAAGAAGTTGCAAAGGATCAGGTATAAAGCAGAAGGGTTCATGAATGCCAGGGATCTGTGCCTGGACTGTTTTAGAATAAAATTACACCTCAATTATAAGGAAACATTTTAACTAGGGGTGGCATGATAGTTGTATTCCAGTATGTGAGAGATTGCCACAAACAGGAAGGGGTCAACTTATTTTCCAAAGCACCTGAGGGCAGGACAAGAAACAATAGATGGAAACTAATCAAGGGGAGAAGCATCCTGGAACTAAGGAGATACTTCCTAACAGTGAGGACAATTAACCAGTGGAACAGTTTGCTGTCAGAAGTTGTAGGTGCTTCATCATTGGAGGTTTTTAAGAGACTGGACAGTCACTTGTCTGGAATGGAATAGGGTTGCCTGCTTGAGCAGATGGTTGGACTGGAAGACCTCCAAGGTCCCTTCCAGCTCTATTCTGATTGAATTGTTTCAAACTTCAGTTTATATTAGTGCTTCTCAATCTTAGCAACTTGAAAATGCATGGACTTCAACTTCCAGAATTCCGCACCCAGCCATGATAGTAATGCAAAATATTAGATGTTATCTTAAATATGAATTATGCCACAACTTCTCAACTCAGGAGTAATAGCATTATTAGTGCATGTATCTGGCTCCATTAATTCAATTATGCAATAATATGCAGGGTACATTAATTGTCCTGGGGAAAGGATATTCTGTTCTTGGAAACCAAGAAGAGGATGTGGAGCAACAATAACATCACCCCTGATCACAGGATGTGCAGTAGAAATAAATGCATATTTCCTCATTCTCTCCCATGAGAAAGAAATAACTTTTCCCATTACTAGTGTCCCTGGACAGCAATAACATTGATGGCATTAGCAAAGCCTTCTAATGTACTGAACCCAGAGGTGGTATTCAGCAGGTTCTGACTAGTTCTGGAGAACCGGTAGTGGAAATTTTGAGTAGTTTGGAGAACCGGTAAATACCATCTCTCCCCCCCCCCCAATCTATTCTCTGCCTCCTGAGTCTCAGCTGATTGGAAGGGAATGGGGATTTTGCAGTAACCTTCCCCTAGAGTGTGGAGGGAATGGAGATTTTACATTATCCTTTCTGTGCCATGCCCACCAGTGGTGGGATTCAGCCAGTTCGCACCACTTCAGGAGAACCAGTTGTTAACTTTCTGAGCAGTTTTGTGAACAGGTTGTTAGAAGAAATCATTAGGGCAGAGAATCAGTTGTTCAATTATTGAATCCCACCACTTATGCCCACCAAGCCATGCCACGTCCACCAGAACCGATAGTAATTTTTTTTAATCCCACCACTGACTGCACCTCTTTAAAGATCTTTTCATTCAAACATAAAGAATGTACAATATGCATCTCTTCAGTTGTCAATTGACTACAATTCCTAGTCTCTTTCATATCTGTTGGGAATTGTAGTTTAGAACATCCTTCACTCTGATAGCCAAGAGTAAAAGAGCTGTAATGCTCCAATATCTAGAGAACCTTGTACCAGTGGTGGGATTCAATTTTTTTTTTACTACCGGTTCTGTAGGCATGGCTTGGTGGGCATGGCATGGCTTAGTGGGCGTGACAGGGGAAGGATACTTTAAAATCTCCATTCCCACCCTACTCCAGGGGAAGGATACTACAAAATTCCCATTCAGCTGAGACTCGGGAGGCAGAGGATAGATGGGGGTGGGGCCAGCCAGAGGTAGTATTTACCGGTTCTCCAAACTACTCAGAATTTCCACTACTGGTTCTCCACAACTGGTCAGAACCTGCTGAATAGCACCTCTGCCTTGTATCTCTGTCCCACCAGTAGAGATATGGATGTGCCAACCTTTGACTTAGGTCTGAGACACTTACATGTTAAGAGAAAAATGTTAAATATATATTATTTATGTTTTCTCATTTCTTGCCCTGACCAAAATTAATGTAAAGCTATCATGTTTGCTGCTTTGGTGTTTGACATTTACTTGATATTTTCACTTTTTGTCTCTCCCCTCCCTTTTTTTTCTTATTCCTGCCCTTATTTCTCTATACCACCGTCAATTCTTCTTATGTAGTTTATTTCTGAAATCATCATTGGTGTCATTGCTGAAAAACATTCTGCAGAATTCGGGGCTGATTGTCAAGAGGCAATGAGGAAAGCCTTGGAGCTGTTCCGGAATGATATGGCCAGCAAATACAAGGAACTTGGATACCAGGGCTAGTAAGGAAAAAAGATGTCACCACCACGAAGACTTAGTGTGGATAGGTGTGTGGTCAGTTTAGGAGAATATTTTCATGTCATGACAGGAAAATAGCTTGAATAAATTAAATAATGTTAATGTTACACTTGAAGGTGGCAAGATATATTGCTCAAAATCTCTAATGTCTGCTAAGGTCATTTTGGCTGAGACGTAAGGGAATAAAACCAATACATTTGTAGGATATCTAATGAGGTCAAGAGGGAGGTTTAAAAACCTAGAAAGTTGGAGGTGATAGGACTGGATATGTAATCATTACACCCAGTGGTGAAATTCATTTTTTTTTACTTCTGGTTCTGTGAGTGTGGCTTGGTGGATGTGGCAGGGAGGGTACTGCAAAATCCCCATTCCTTCCCCACTCTGGGGCCAGCCAGAGGTGGTATTTGCTGGTTCTCTGAACTACTCAAAATTTCCACTACTGGTTCTCCAGAACCTGCTGAATTTTACCCCTGATTTCACAACTTTTTAGTTCAGTGGAATGTTCCTCAAAATCACCACCTACAGCCAGGTTCTGATGACAAAGGGAAAATTGGGGAGCAGATGCCATGCGGTATTCGTGGATCACTGATTTAAATGAGATCTGCCTTGGGATGGATAATCATCTGCTCCAGTGTTCTGCATGTAATTAATGAAATTAAAATTGAATTACATTTTAATTAAAAGTTGCCCAGTTTATTATGAGTATGATTCTGATAATACTCAAAGATGAAGCACATCCCTTTGTCTAAAAACAATTCTATGCTGCTGCTGCAGCTTTAAGTGTGATGGAAAGCTTGCCAACTTCATGTGTGGTTTGGGTTATCAACTGCGGTTCTTTTTGATCTTCAGCACTTCTTAATAAAATATTAATCATGTATAATAAAAACAGCTGCATTTAGTCTTTACATATTGCCTAGTCCACGACTGGCTCTACAATATGTCAGTATTCAGAAAAAGGAAAAGTGAACAAGTTATTCAGGAAGGTGAGTGAAGATAAGGTTTCTAGTTCTTGACTGGGATATTGTCAACTCTGAAGCTAGCCTGATTGAGGCCATCTTGGAGACTTCAGTGCTGCCACAATGGTGCTGAGAGATAGGAGGGGGGAATAGAGATAGCTGGGGTTTTGTAGAAAACCTTTACTTTTGATTAAGTGAAAACCGTGGGAACCTTTAGAGTTGGTTTTCACCAGCTTGTGCCAATATGATATATCCAATAAACTTGTTATTTGAGGAACCACTTGCCTCGGAGTTTTGTTTTCTATGGGTATATTACTTGGAACCCTGACAGATATAGCATAATTTGTTATTTAAATTGACTTGAATAGAAAGTCCTACTTGATTATTGCTCTGTATATTGTACAAGATTTTCCTCTTGCCTGTACAAGCAAAGAGGGGGAAAAGGTATTTCTACTGGCTAGGGCCAAGGTAAAACTACAAGTAATTTTGTAAAATCAAAAGCTAGGAAATCCATAAATCAATGACCTTCAAATTGTGGTTTATGGTGTCTGTAGAGATGGTCCATCAGCTGGCCCATCAAAACCTTCTCTTGTTCATGGAGCAGATCCATCTCATTGTTTCAGCATGTTTTCTCCAAACACCAAGAGATAATAAGTGAGAATCCATTGTTTTCCTCAGCCTCTGACTTTGTGGGCTAAGAGTTAAATGGTTTATAATAATGGATTACTACTGAAAGGCACTTCATTGAACAATACAAGTATCCATAAGTGTAAGGTTAAGGTTTTGGATTAGGAGCAGGATGGTCTAGATTCTATTCCATCGTGAGCTGTAGAAATTCTCTCACAGGGTTGTTATTGTGAGGACAAATAGGAGGAGGGAGTTCAATACCACATTGAATACTTGTAGAAAAGTGTGTGTGTGTGTGTGTGTGTGTGTGTGTGTGTGTATAAATATAACAAATCTAAATTCAGAAACTGACAAGAATTAAGAGAGCCCAACTATTGCTATTGACTATTGACAAGCAACTTCTGTTTCCAAAAGGCAAATAAGTAATATTATATGAATGCCTAAAAATGGAGATTGCATTTTACTTAATCTCTCCTTATTCCTCATTTATTTTTATGCTATGTTCTATGTTAAAACTATGAAAATGTCTAGCAAGGCTTCTTGGAGAAAGTAGGTACAAGTAGGTATGTTCTACTCAGATCCATGCTTGGATTAATACGACACGAGAAGACTCTAGAAACCAGAAGAAGATCATTTTTTTCTATACTGGAATCTTTGACAAACTGTTCTTCCTTTTGCTATGTGAAAAACTATCTTCCTGTGTCATGGTCAAAAATGTGAAAACTCAGCAAATTAATGAAAAATCCAGTCCACAGTAATGAAGGTTTGTTTGTTTACTTGTTTGTATTAGAAAAAGGGGGATTCTGGATGTCCACTTCACAAAAATGGTTTTCTTTTTTAAATTTTTCCCATACTTCTAAGAATGTCATTTTTAATGGACAATCTACTACGACTACCCTGTTTTCCCAAAAATAAGACCTCCCCAGATAATAAGCTCAATTGGGCTTTTGAGCGCATGTGCTAAAATAAGCCCTCCTCCACAGCAGCAGCCATGAGGTGATCACGCTTGCCGCCTCCCGCACCTCAAAAATAATAAGACCTATGTGGTTGTGTCTTTAAGTATGAATGATTTGAGGTAAAAGCATGTTCAAATAATTGTAGTCAAATGAGAATTGTGGTACATTGATAGTAAAATATACAAAGATTTTTGACTTAAAGTGTATAATCTAATATGAAATATAAGTAATGACTGTGGAAGAAACACACGAAAGTTATCTGTAACCAATCGACACACTTTCTACAAGATGTAATGAAGGATGATTCTTTTTTGTGTTTTTGTTGAATTAAAATAAAAAAAATTCAAAAATAATAATAATAAGACCTCCCTGAAAATAAAGCCAAGTGCTTATTTTGGGAGTCAAAAGAAAATAAGAGTCTGTCTTATTTTCGGGGAAACACAGTAGTGTATTAATTCATTAGTCTTTTGACCATAGTAGTTTATTAATTAATTGACCATATGAAAAAATAAAAGTAAAATAGACAAATCTAGTTCCAGGGTAAAAAAGATATAATACACTAATAATAAATCATATGTGATAAATACAAAGAGTTGGCATCAGACAAATCACCTTACAGCAGTGGTCTCCAACCTTGGCAACTTTAAGACCTGTGGACTTCAACTCCCAGAGTTCCTCAGCCAGCAAAGCAAAGCTGGCTGAGGAACTCTTGGAGTTGAAGTCCACAAGTCTTAAAGTTGCCAAGGTTGGAGACCACTGCCTTACAGGATACCCTGATCTGTTCAAATTAACAGGTTCTTAGCTGAAGTGCCTTAATTGTAAACTTAAGAATTCTGTTCATAATGAATACATTAGAACTCAGGAGAAAATTGGGACAATCATGACTCAGATCCTAGAGAGCTGTTCTTTCACGTAGGGTTGTTTAATATCAAAATCAGGGGTATCCAACACTGGCAACTTAAAAACCTGTGGATTTCAACTCCCAGAATTCCCCAGTCAGCATGGGTAACAGAATGGCTGGCTGGGGAATTTTGGAAGTTGAAGTCCACAGGTTTTAAAGTTGACAATGTTGGGCACCCCTATCTAAACCCAAGACGGGTATATAATTGTCCCTCAACCAAATATGAACAATATTTTGATACTGAGGTATTGCATATAAATGCGATATGTCATCTATTGATATGGCAGATAATGGTAGGTAATGGAAGCACCCATGTTTAGCCAACAACTGAAACCTTGATCTAGAATAGCTCCTTCTTAAGAATTGTGTCAAACACATTGACAGGTATTTTTCAGATGAAAAAATAGTTTTCTTCTTAGCAACCAATTTAAAGATCTACTTTTTTTTTGCCAATAACTCCATGTCAGTTTGGGCACTGATATCAAAGAATCTCTGTTTAAAATTTTCCTTGTCTAGGGGGTAGTTGAAAGTGTACTGGGCAAGAAGATTCATGCTGTGAAATAACTTTGGTAAATCAGCTTACCCAGGAATTGGGCTGACCCATACTTATCTACTAAGCATATTTGGCTACCCTATCTGGATCCACTGTATGGATCCTCTGACAGTATGTGACAAGTTTAATTATTGATTGGCTATATATGGAATGGATATCTGTTTTTGTTCTAACTGCAGGAGCTGACATCAGTTGCTAGCACAGGTCTTAAAAATGTTTGTGAACTTGTTCAAGTCAGATATATTTTGTAAAGCCCCACAATTCCATACCATAAATCAACATTGAGACTATTTTCTCCTAAATATGGTCAAGGTATTTGGGTAATTATAATTAATATAATGTCATCTTTTAGTATTTGCCTTGGCCCTTAACAAGCTTTTTAAAAAATGATTTACCAGTGACCCTGTGTTGGTAAAAACCACTTCTAAATCAGTACAAGAATTCACTTATTCAATATGCTGTCTTCTCAGGCCTGTTTCAAAATGAGCCATTAGAATCATACCATCAGCAACCTTCAAGGGAACAACAATTTTCAAAAGGACTAGAAACATTCCAGGAGTGACCTTCAAGAGGAGTAGTAAATACAAGGATTAGAATCATACCATCAGCAACCTTCAAGGGAACAACAATTTTCAAAAGGACTAGAAACATTCCAGGAGTGACCTTCAAGAGGAGTAGTAAATACAAGGATTAGAATCATACCATCAGCATAGATGAAATGCTTCCCATTTACACATTGACATTGAATTATATTTCATGCCCTTTTTGGTACATATCATAATTTTAGAGTTTAGGCTTATTGGTCTAAAATTTGGGGGGTCAGCTTTGTCTCCCCTTTTTATATATGGGAATCATAATGGCAACTCATTTATGTAGAAGGGAGAAAAACCCTGCTAACAATGGGGCCCACCAATCAATATATGTCCTAAAGAATTTTGGGGGTAGAACATCTTCTCCAGGTTTCTTATTAGTC